CTATTTGACAGTAGCGTAATAATATTTATTTTGTATATTTTTTTTTCAGAGAAACTGGTATTTGATGATTCCTTGGATTGTTCTTGGAGGAATGCTTTCTATTGGTTTATTAGTATCAGTTCTAATGACTAGCATACACTTTTACATTGACGGGGATACTCTTAACGGAACTTTGTGGATGGTTTTGGGACTGATATCGTTTGGTAAGTTTGAAGTACGATGGTACGACTCAATTACTCAAAAACGTAAAGCGTTGAAAGAAAACTATAATACCAGATAAAAGTCAAATAATTTACCACTGTGGGGCAGTCAAAAACAAAATGTAGATATCTTGTAGCATATGATTCTTCATTTTATTTTAATTGCTTGATTTTCGAACATATTTAAGAGGTTATTCAAGGTCATACACTCTTTCTACTCACTATAGAAAAATATGCGTTTCCATTTCAAAATTATTCCAATCCAATCTTTGACCTTCAAATAACCTCAAAGTAACAACTACAGAGTCAATCAAAATGATACCTTCAACTGATCCACAAGATTATGGTCAAGGTCCAATATAAAGTTACCATTGCATAGTCAAGAAAAAACTCTCGGTACTACTGGCATCGGAAATTTTTGTTCACCCTGAAAATTGTTCACCATGACTACTGATAAGTAACTTTCAATCCAGTTGTTAGTAGGTTTCACTAATGAAACCACTGGTACACTGCCATAGAAGTAGAGGATAGAAAACAAATAGCACTTCAGTGCTAAGTTGAGGAATGAAAGTAATCTTTGGCAGAAAGTAATCTGGTAGGTTCCCTTGTTCCATGTTAGTTTTCTCAACAGTCTGATTGACTTATCAGTGTACTGATTCTCCTTGATTTGAAGTTTTTTCACCATGAATAGATGATTTGATATTGCTCACATATGCAAGGGAACAAGGAACCGAAATAAAGAACTTTAAATTCAGAGAACTGGAGATGAGCTGCTGGCCAGTCCCTTCGGTTCTAATTTTTGCTGGTTAACAATGGAAGCTGTTGGTCAACATTTTACTATTGTCTTGAATGCTACCACAGCAATCTAATGGTCCAATAGTATTAACGATAGAGAAAGCAAATTTACTTCGCGAACAATTTGCATTTCAGTCTTTAGTTTGTATGTGGTACAAAACTAAAAAATATGTTCGAGAGTTTTTCTGGCAAGTCCTGGTACATCATCAATTCATCTTGCTCAGTATTAGTCAATAAGGGCACCAATACTTCTCTTCTTGAGGGTTTTCCTGTAGTGCTTGTGTTTTGTCCTTAACAAAAAAACATTGTAGAAGAGTTGTATTTGTTCTTGAGAATTCGATCAGACCAAAGCTATAGTTTTTCTATCATGCTTCTACTTTTTTCTCCTACACGGAATAAGTCGGTATCAGACCCTTGAAGTTTCGTATTCGAGTAGTTCAACTACTGAAAGATATCTGTCAGATATGCAACCTTACTGAACCACGTAAAATTACACAACTTGTCTTTAAGAGGACAGTTTTCATGTTTTTCTTTCAAAAAATATTCTTATACCATCACGCACTTCAAAAAAACGTATAACGTCACTGCCTCAAGAAAGCCAGCATTTCTCAGTGTGAAGTGAGAGTTGTACATACTCACTTCCAATTTCTTCACGAAGCTAAGTAAAAATGCGAGAGTTCAATGGTCGGGCTTTAATATAATTGATAATTTTCACAACTTCACTTAATTTCGTTTTAAGATCTTCTAGCATTTGTTTTCCAGCCAATGTCTACCTATGAATAGAGCGGTGAGATAATTTCACTTTGGGAGCGACATACCTGACACGAGCAATGAGGCATGTCTTCTTGCCAGCCATGGCTTCCGCTCCATGGGTACTCAAACCAAGACAACGCTGCTAGTTCAAGTAATTTGATGAAATAAAATTGTTCAATGCTTCAAAAACATCATGGGCATTGTTTTGAAAAATCTCTTTGCAAAACAAAAGCTCTTCTGAAAGGCAATTATCATTTTCATACATAGCTAACAAAGGCTAATGAGTGAGATTTGTCTGATAAGTCTGACAAGCTGCAAAGCGAACATTTGTGTAGATTTCAATTCACGAATTAACTGCTCTTCAATATTTTGAGTCATGTCATCGATTCGACGTTTTATAGAATCGTTTGGAAAAGGAACTTCACTTACTTCATCAGTAGCTGCCTCTCCTATCATTATATTACATACTTTCTTTGCCGCTCGTGAGATTAGTTCTTCTGCAATTGTATATGGCTTCCCAGATTTAGCTATGAGTAATGCTACTTCGTATGATGCCACAGTGGCATTTTCAGCGGCGCTGCTTGAAGTCATTTTCTCTATTGAGGTTTTCATCTTCTTCATTTCTATGTAGTGACAATGATGTAATAACACTTTCCAAATACAAATCATGAGATTGTAAAACAACAACAAAAATTAATTTGCGCTCCAGTGGCGCAATTGCTTTTTCAGCTGCAGCAAAACCTGGAAAATCCTGCAGCACCACATCATCTGAAGATCATGATCTGCCAATGTCCTCTCTCTCATAAAACAAAATATAGGGTGTCTCCAGAGGTTCCAATAAATTCAATACATCGCCAGAATACTTAGTAACACGACTATCGTCAAAGTTTAACCAGTCCGTTTCGTCTTTGACCAAGGCGTAATAATCTGTCTGTTCAAAAAATATGTTTTTCCGTTAATCAGCTGTCGCCCCTATACGAACGACAACTCTCAGAAGTTGAGAAACTTGTGCGAGCTAAGGACTAACGAGGTCTTACTTTTTAACGTGTGATTCCTAACACAGTTGGAGAATCATCCCAGCTTCAACCAGATAAATTCTCTCGAGAAAAATATCTGGTCGAGGCGGGTATCGAACCCACGGTCTTCCGATCGTGAGTCGGGCGCACTGCCATCGCGGCCAATTCCAGAACAAAATGACCTGATTCATCTCCAGAACCACAGTGAACAATGATTGCATGAATATTATAATAGTGTTCTGCTAGATTGAAGTGTTCATCTATTTTAGATTTAAGTGTTCATCTATTTCGAACCGTCGTAAGAGTTTGGTGCTTCCATCAGAGATTGAGTCATCTAGTGGGCTTCAAAGACTCCAGGAAGTCGATTGGAGGGAAAGATGATTACATTCTTACGAAACTGCAGCTGCATGAACAGGTGTTTGAGTTTGGTAAATAAGTAGAAAACATTATCGTTCTCGTTCATCATTAAAACCTCGTTCTTGAAATTCTTCATCATGAACAACACTTGTGAAATGCTATTCATGTAGCAGCTGTTTCCTAAATCAATTTTCTCCTCAAGATTTTCAGGACAACTCTCTACTGATTCGTAAGAAAGAACGTGTTTCACATTAACTGCATAAGAACCATTTCTCAAGGAAGGGTTTCGTAGAGAGATCGATTCGGCTCTTGCTTCATGAAGCTCTTCCACTGAAAGGGAACCAGCACCACGAGGACTGCAACTCATATTTGGGGGGCAAGAATGACCTAAGTCCATTGACCGCACTGAAAAAGAAGAAAGTGGATCAATCACTTGCGAATTAACCTTGATAGGAGGCTGATGAATATTCACATATCTCGACTTGTTTCGAAGATATTTTAGTTCCGTACTAAAATGAGGCAATGCATGATCTCATCAAAATTAAGTGAAGGAGGAATAGTTCCAAGGACCGAAGCAGCATTACCACGTTGAATAGCAATACTAATGCTTTCTATCAAAAAAGAGGTAGAACGGTGATCTTTCGTTGCTTGGCCTATTCTCCTTCCGAGTTCATGAACGAATAACAGAAACTCCGGGCCATAGACACCAAAAATTTCAACGGCTACTGGATGGAGCAGATAGTTGTTACCATGATTTTGGTATTTTTTTCGTTTTGAGTTTTCGCCAGACAATGCTGCGGTTCCAGCAGACTTCGAACTTTCGGCTAGATGGAAAGACGCAACCCTGTCAACGCAAGTGAAGTCCCATACCACAGGTTTACCATATTTCCATGGTATGAGAGACATACCATCTGGTATTTTGTTTCCATAATTTCGCTGGTTTCATAGCTTCATTGGAAAGAATTTCATATTATAACACGCATTGTTCGTTATTAGATTGCACGAAACCTAATTTTAAATATTCTTCACAATATTTGCGGCACTTAATAGTCTTACGTGAATCAACCGGAACTAGCTGAAGTTGAACAACTAACCTCACTTTCATGATCACTGTATCTTTTGGATACATCAATTGCACGTTTTACAGTCGCTGTCTACGACCAACGATCCATGATGCAGACACCGAATGAATACCTTCTCACGTGAAATGTGTCCACTACAAAAAGTTTAACATCACAATAAAACAAAACAAACTGTGACAGTCACGTGACTCATTGCCGCAGGGTAGTCACCCGTCGAAAACAATATTGCTTTGCTTATAGGCATGGATTAAGCTTCGTAATACAAACCAAAACTGTTATTTTCAGAAATAGGCGTTCTTGGTACGAGTGATAAAAAATAGATCAGAATATTTTTCTCAGATCCCTAAGAAACTTTTTGCGGACCAAGAATATTTTTCGCGGATCCCTATGAAACTTTTTGCGGACCCTTAGGGGTCCGCGAACCTATAGTACCACTCTCCCATAGTACCACTCACCTATAGTACCAGTGTACCAAACTCTATGAATAATTTTAGATGATATGAATCCCTCTTTTTTCCTTCTTTGTTGAGTTGAATATGTATGGCTCGAAGGGGAAGGAAAATCGGATGTGAACATTGAACTTGAAGTCCTCTCTTTGTTTCACTGAAACTGACTATCATTTTTTTGCAGTTGTGTATTGCTACATGTGGTACGTGTCATTCAGCTTCTTTGCCAACCTGAGGGAAGAATCAGAAAGAGGAGCATACTCCAAGGACCCTTTCAGAAGACAGCGCATGTAGACCCTTATATTGACATATTTCGTGAAGTCTGGATGTTTTTATTTTTACACATCTAACGCACAGATGAAGATGATGAGTTCGTAGTGCACTGTGATACAGCAAGCTGAGTAGATTACCGTGTTGGAAAATAGTTGAAAAATTGGTGTTGTATTAGTCGAATGACTTTTCTTTTGAATGAGAGTAACTTTGCTGTTCGTATCTAGATATATCGAAGTCGAATAAAATACTCGTTATTATATGATTTAGGTATTATGCATTTTAACGTTGTAGATGTAGTTGCAATTAGAAATATGTTATTTTCTTAATATTTGTTCTTTTCTAGTGTTTCATCTATTTAACCATCGAATCGTGAATCGAGCATTCAACAAGAGTTTCTTCAAAACGTATTCAGATTGATTGATTGGGAATAAAACTGAACTTTGATGATTAACTGTTTCGTTTTAAATCTTTGATATTTTGCCTAACGAATCTCTTCAATATCTGTAAGTTTAATATTGTTCGAAATTATATTCTTGGGAATATTGATCACTTGAACCTGAAAATAGTTTTTAGTGATGTATCACATTGGTATAAGTACTAAAAAAATAGCGGCTTTAATCGGTCGTTTTATTTTAATTTATTTTTTTATTTGATGTAGGTAATTTGAGACTGGCTTGAACAGATTGTTCTTTTAGTGACAGTGATCAAAACTATTTACAATTTATTCAACTACAACAAGTTAACTACTCATGTCAGAAACAACTTCACTAGTTCGGATTTCCATTGTCTAATATATAAAATGATTTGAAATCCTTGAAACAACCAAAAAAGAAGAATTTAAAATGACAATTATATTATGCAAAAACACCTGAAATGAAATAATAGTGAAATAAAATACAAGTAAAAAATAAAACAATTGAACAAAAAATAATGAAATTGACTTTGAAAATGAAAATAAAAATGAAAAATTAAGAGATTTCAAGCCAAGTTAGGTCATGCCGTTTCGATTGTTAGTATCCACAATCGTCTTCCGGTGATGACCGGACTGATTCCTCCGTGGTTATCTTGTTTGTGTCGAGTTCTGAATAACTAAATCCCTGCCTCTTTAGTCTAGCTGGGTTAACGTCTGTTAGGTTTTTAGGTTTCGGCGACAGAGACGAGTCTCTGTCGACTTCTTGTAGCTTGTGGCTATGTTTGTAGAAGTCTCCATTCTTCTACTTTTCTTTTTTCTGTCGTGCAGACATAGGTTCCTTCAGTTTCTCTTTTCAATTTTTTCCGGCGAACGTGGCTTGCAGGACTGGGAATTTCGTTAGAATTTCCTGCAGCTGCCCTAGGACCGTTGGGAGACCTTCGGGAGAGCTGTGGGAATTCTCCGTTGCGGACACGGCTCTCGCATATGAGATTCCGTGTCTGCCTACATTTTGCCTGGCTGTCCTCGGATTTGTGGGCTGCCGTCTGTCATTTGGCACGTCTGTGGCCGTTTTTTTGTTTTCTGGGCGTTCTGGGCACCCGGAGAAACTGGCTGGATGCTCGCCTTTACAGTTGAAACACCGCATGGGCAAGTTTTTTTGTCTTTTACACTCATTTGTTAAGTGTCGTCCGGCACACTTTACGCAAGCGGGAACTGCTTTACAGTTCCGTTGTGTGTGTCCGAACTTCTGACACCTAAAACACTGTCCTACTCTATTCCTTGGGCGTTGTGTTTTGCACTTACGCGGACATTTTGTAATTCTTCCACTTGAAAAATGTTAGTTTGGTTTCTAAGTACCAAATGGGATTCATCCGAGCAATGGAAATAACTTCAAAACCTTTTCCTTGTAGTTCGGTCTTTATGTCCTCAGTTTCCAGGGATTCTGGAAATCCCCGAAAAACGACTCTTGGAGGCTTATCGGCTTGTACCGAGTAAGTATGATACGGTATTTTTTCGTGGTCTAAGATTTTTGTAAGTTTCCTAAATTCATCTATGGTGTTTAGATGAACTTTGATCCTATCGTTTGTATTTATCGCCCGCGAGATGGAAATGTTCTGCGCGGAGGCGATCGAATTAAATTCTTTCCATTTTTTCTTCGCCCGTATTGTTATTGGCGGAGGTTTTGTGGTCTTTTGTTTTGATTGTTCTTGTCGAGTTCCCGTGTCATCCTCGACCTTATTTTCCTCATCTAATTCCATCCTTTCGGGTTTATTATCGTCTGGGGATTAACCTTCTGGGCTACCTGCTTATCCTTTTGTTTAGGCCCTTCCGTTTCGCCCGAGTTTTGTGACGTACCAGGTGTGACGTCATTGGATTTGCTTTCACTATTCCGTTCAGGTACGGAATTTTTGCTTTTTTTCTTTTTTGGCTGTTGTACCGGGCTTATTGTTTTTTCCACAGAGGGCTCAGGCGTGGCCGCTCGTTTTTGGGGTATACTTTCTTCCATGATTTCTTCATCCTCTGAAGGTATGCTGTCGAAATCCTGATCTNACGAGAAAATTTATTTGAATCATTAGCAATGAGTGTTATGTTCAACTCCGTTACGGTATGGCGCATTAGATATTTGGAAGTTTTAGAGAGAGTACATCTCAGTTTCTTGAAAATAATTCTTTTATTGCTTATTAACACACCCGACGCAATAGTACGTTTGGAAACGAGACGAGTTAAACTTTTTAAAATCACCTTAAACTGGCTGTACAAGATTCTTACCATGGAGAGTGATGGTTATCCAAGACTTTGTTTTGAAAAACAAATAAGATTAATGAATGCGACTGATGCAAAATATAATTGGGCACTTCAAGTAAAGCAATTTTTTTTTGATAGCGGATCTCTGGAAATTTCAAATGATATGACTGCTCACTCTTTGAATTCAAATAGGAGAAATATAGTAAATAAATAATACAGTTATCTGTACAACAACGATCCATCTACGGCATCTTGTTACCCTTACATGTATATGTACAATTCGCTCGAAGGAACCAAGCTCATATCTGCTGTTAAGTTACCTTTGTAATAGGGGAGCCCAAGCGGGGATTTCGGGATTTACTAAAGCGCGGCAGATTATTATACAGGGGGATACCTTGCACCCGGTTGAGTACCTCCACCAAATATGAGCACCATATATAAGACCGCCTGTGAGGGATAAAGGATCAGATTAGTAAAAAAAAATTTATCATCAGAAATTCTCGAGCGCGTCAGATTAAGGTAGGGTGAATTAATTACCTGCTAAAAAGTGTATATTTCAGTAATCTGACAATTTGAGAGTGACGTAAAGAAAGGGGAGAGCAGCGAAGTTGTAAAAAAATAACGTCATTTCGACATTCTCGAGCGTAGCTAATTTTTTATCATTTTGAAGGAAATAAATCAAGGATAACGAAAAATATATAGTCTGACGATTTCCGCAAGCCGAAATAACAAAAATTCGTCGATAAAGTTTAATGCGTGCAGCTGTATATAGGTATATTTCCCTCTTCGAGTTTCTATTCCTCTATTCTCTATCTATTACTCTCTCACTCCGTCCCCACTACGATTTTTTTTTGCACATTATAATAATGGCCGCGAGTTTGCGTCAGATCGAAATCGTCAGATTATTGAATTAGAGCTTTTTTTTGTTGCACTCAACACCCCCTTAGAAAATCTGACGCGCTCAATTGCATTTTTTTTCTTTTCACTTTCAACCCTTACTTTCAACCACCCACATCATGCAAACGATCAGAATAACATACGAACATTATTATTAATACGTAGGACATTGATGCTATCAATATCTGACGCGCTCGAGTATGTCCATGCCACAGTATTTTTTTACATATTTAAAAATCTATAGCCGGTTCCCACATCAATGAATAGGTATATATTATATAACATTTTCTTCTTCTTATCATCCAAGCTTTGCAACCTGATATGTCTCAATGACGCTCCAGTAAATCCCCATTTTGCATCGTGGGCTCCCCTGCTATTACAAGTTACCCGCACTCTTGCACAGTTAAGTATGGCCAATCATTTTAAAATTAAGTTTACATTGAATGGAATTGTATATTCGATCGTTCCAGGTGTAATATGCACTGTTTGCAATAGTAATAATGCTGAAATTTCATTTCACATCATCTTCGAATACCCGATTCACACTGTTATGAAACAAAATAAACAAATTAGTGTGAAGTTACCCACAATTTCTCATCCACAGTTCATGACGAGGAACAATCGAACAGGGTTTAGAATGAGATTTGCGAACAGTGTTGCCAGATTGCAAATATTAAGAATTTTACCTGTATTTCGATGTTATCATATTAAAAACACGATATATTATTGAAACATATCGAATAAATGAGCCGTCGTAAACTTGACATCCACCTGCTCTGTAGACTCGCTCCTGAACTAAATTTACAGGGAGGTCAGTTGGAGTCGACATCCATCTCAAATCTCAAATTGATTGTTCAATTCATTTATATCATCTCCAAATGTGTCCGGTTCAAAAGTATGTACTCATTCAATACATTGCTTTATTTTTGATTCTTCATATTCTGTTCAAATATGTCCAGTTTAAAGTTATATTCTTATCTATATCTAGTACTTATTTCAATAGATTGATTGGTTTAATTCATTTATATTCTGTTCAAATGTAGCTATTTTGAATTTATATCTTAGTACTTAATTCAATGCATGAATCTCATTCAATGTCAGATTCAATATTCTCATTCCTTACACACAGGCACATCATTTTGCCTCGTAAGAAATATTTTATTTGCTCAGTGTTAGAACTCCAGAAATTCGTTATGGAATTGGATCAGATTTCATTTACAGGATTGCTATGAAATGTGTTACATGAAAAAGGCAAAATTTCACAGTTCATTTCGAACTTATTTGATTTCTTTCTTCCTTTGAACCTTTTCCACATTTTTTTCTACAAGGATGAAGGAGTGAAAGCCGAAAATATTTTTTGTTAAAAAATTAACTCTCCTGAAAATCTCGTTCAATTCTTTGAAAGGATGTAGTAGATATAAATGCAATAGACATCAGGTTTATTTTATTATGGTATCATCGTGATACGAGAATAGTAGGTTTTAAAAACTCAATGAAGTTGTGAAACAACATATTTGCTTTGTGTAAAATACATCATGTCCTAAATAAATACACTTATATATGTATTAAAAACAAATGACGTTGATAAGAAACATTGCATTTTACTCAAGAACAGTTTCTATATATTCCATCATGAAATCATTTCAAGGGTTTTTTATGTTCACTTCATACGCCGCGCCGTTTGTTTTCAATAGTTTTGTAGTTTTAGGATAAGACAATCAATTTTACTGAATAAATTGGTGTTATCATAATGATAATGAGTTCGCGTGATGAAATGAAAACAATTTGAAATATCGAGATCTATTTTGAATCTATTGAACTTTTGACAAAAGTTGAAGGTTAAGTTGTCCTGAATATCTAAATTACATTATTTTTAAGAAACTTGCATATAAATCTGTCATTTTTGAACTCTCTTGAAGTGGATGATTTACACAAAAAGTGAGTCTGTCTCCGAAGTATCCACAGATAATTTCATAATAGCTATGATTTTAAATAAGAACCTAATACTTTTTCCAGAGCTGAGCTGTGTGAGACAAAAATGGTTTTCACTATAAAAGGTAAAGTTGCTATAATAACTGGCGGAGCTTCAGGACTAGGCAAACAATATGCTAAAGAATTATTAAGGAATGGTTTGAAGGTGAGTGTTTTATGCCGGATGATTTTTTATAGTTATAATGTATTCGTTGATTGCTGATATTGTTATATCAATGGACAATATAATATTCTCATTATTAAAATATTAATTAAATTTCGACTGGATTGGCATTATTTGTGAATAGTTGGGTTTTTCCAGATGCGTCCGATTTCATAAACTTCATAAAGAAAATTCAGATAGATTCAGGAGTGAAGTAATACAGGGTGTAACAACAACGCCGGAGGTGATCGTTATCGATATATTTTCTATATCGATGCATATTACTTAGCTCCTAAGGCGCTAATTGAAGTTGCTAAAAACATTACAAAAACTGAGTATGAGATGGATCTCGTCAAAATAAACAACTTTTTTCGCTAAAATGTTATCGAAAAATCATTCGTTTTGGATAAACGAATAACTAAAATTGCAAAAACTTATGACAAAAACCAACCATGTTTGAAAAATTTCAACAATTTGTATCTCGAAAACGACTGATTTTTCGATGAACATTTTGAAGTAATAAGGTTGTTTATTTTGGCAAGATCCACCTCATACTTAGTTTTTGTAATGTTTTCGGCAACTTAGCGCTCTAGGAGCTGAGTAATATGCATAGATATAAAAAATTGTGAATATTTGTACCTTTTATACTTGGTATTTTCATAAAAAGTACCAAAAGTTTACTGTAAAAAAAGATGGGGCACCCTCTAGATATTATATGGAAATTAATACGTAGCTCTATTACCTTCTTATCAAATTTACGCCTGATGCTTTGTTTCAATTTTCTCCAAATCAACTCGATGGGAAGTCTCAGTATGGTGTGTCTATACTTTTCAGCAATACCCTCAAGGGCAGACACTTTTTCAAATGATTTTGTCTGTAAGTTTCAAGTTTCAAGTAGTTGGGTTTTGGTTTAGTAATCTTCAAAATACAAATTGTTATCCATTAAAAAACTTTGTATTTCATCATTCTTCGAATTTTCATTCGATACTTTGATGAGCTATCGCGAATGATAGGTAGCGTTGTCGACAACTATTACACTATTCGCATCCAAATATGAGATCAATGTGTTTTCTGACCATTTCTCGAAAATATTAGCTTTTATGTTCTTATGATAGTCAACATTGCAATCCTCAAGTTTTTTTCCACATAATTTCAAAGAATTCGGAACCCATCCTTTACTTACTCCACAATGCACAATAATTGATCGCGATCCTTCGCTTGCAGGCATGTTAGGCGTATACATTCTCGAACCATCAGTCCACCCTTCCGTAACTGTGTCGTGAGTGTCATACCAAGTTTCGTCCAAATAAAAAATTTGCCGTTGCTCTTGTCTATATTAAGTTATTTGTTCTGAGTATTTGTTACATAATTCCACTATTCTTCTGTTTTCCATAACTGCTTGACGTTTGTTTATAATTTTGAATCTAAATCCTAGTTTCTTCATCCAATTCTGAAGCATTTTGTCACAGCAGCTCACGTTATGGTCGGAAGTTTTCAATTTCTTCCTTATAATTTCAGTTGTAGGAATCTCATTGCTTTTGTAACAGTCGTATATTGTTTTTTTCAATGATTTCAGCAGATGAACATCTGAGAGTTTTGGTAATCCTGTACCACATCGAGTCTTGCGTTCATAAGGATTTTTTGACTCTTTTACGTACAATTGAGAAATTAATTTCGGTCAAATCTTGCTTGTAATAGTTGATATTGCTTGTAATAGTTTGTTTCCCTCGAAAACAAACTCAAGATGTAGATTCTTATATACATTGAAACATACTCCATGTGTCTCAATATTTGAATGCATCCGAATCTTATTCATTGATATCTCTTATCCGCATTGTTCACCGTCGCTATTGGAATCACTACACTGGAAAAAGTCTGCGTTGTTATCACACCCGTTATTACTATTAGTACTTGTCCAAGGGCGCCACATTTCGGACAGATAATAAAAATTTGTAGTAATTATAACTGCACCAATATCGAATTTCAACACTCAAATCGCGATCAGTTCCTGAACTGAACACGATGGCGATAACCATCTCCGCATTCCCCGATTTCTAGTCATCACCGTAACATGACTTCAAATTTGATTTTATGACTCTTCAGCTAATCATAAACCTCTGTTCTTGAGGATATTTCATCGTGAACTGAGTTCACTCGAGACAAAGTTTTCTGAAAAACATTCGTGTACAAAAAGTGGTTAGTTTTCATATCTTAATATATCTACAGAAATGAAAAGTCTTCTATTATTAGCCTAATATATGACAGACTTTGATCGCTTCTGTACGCAACTTAATTTACCGCAATTTTTGCACTGCCTCTCCTTGAAAAATCACGTTTTCCTATACGACTCTCTCAATTTATAGAAATTTCCACTCCTAATGTTTCTTCTCCGGATAAGATTACTTTCCTTTTTACCATATGTAAGTTTTCAGGCAACTGTCAATACAGCTAGTGTCATAAGGTGTAGACCAAGCTAGGGCCTTGCTGCCTGCAATTTGGTCATTCTATTCATTCACTTGTTGGTCCAACTTCTAGTTCATTCCTTGCATTTTTTCTTTCAATAATCAATTCTTTCAATTTGTATTTTATCTTTTCTATAAGTCGTTTCTCGTTCTTGCCAAATCCGTCTTCTATTCTTCTCACTAGAGAGCTGAAACTTTCTCCACTTCTTCTAGAACCTTGTATATTTTGCCCTGACTCATTCCATTTTTCCGTTACTTCAGTCCGAAGTTCTTGGTTGATTGAGGTCAGTTGCTGGACTAACCGTTTCTATTGTTCTTCTTGACGATGTTTCATAACTCTGTATCTGTAGAGTAGGGAGGGTGAGTGTAGACCCACAGCACTTAGGCCACACGTGACCCATTGTACATCCTCTCGAGAAGTTGTCCTCCAAGGTCACCGTTCATTCTGTCCTTTCCAGGAATGTGGACAGGTCACTAGGAGACATCTCCTTTATATCGGCAAGTGAAAACCAAGACCCGCCGAACACACACTCTCTTTGGCAAACTTGAGGTGTATCACGGCGTCCTTCGTGAAGGTTTTGGAAGGTTCAACGACATTACTGTTGTTGCGCGGCTTCTTCAACCTTCTTGAGGTTTCCTTCATGGTGGTACTCAAGTAAGGGCGCTTTCCTGCAGGGGCAGCCGGTTCTTTGCCTTTATTCAAGGCGAAGCTCTTGGCGCCCGCCGCAGAGAGTGCCCTTGCTGTTGGAGGTGGAGTGGGAGAGGAGGAGGGTGCACTTATAATTGCTGTCAGTCTTGCCTCTTTTGCTCTTTTTGGCCTCGGCGCCGCAAATGCGCTTACGCCTTTGCCTTTGTATTATATCACGAGGTGATCTGCCATGTCCAGCCTCATTCCAAGCAGTAGATTGGGGTGGACATTTCTGTTCATGCCCAGCCACCGCCCTAGATTGCGGTAAGCGTTTCTGTCCAGCCTCGGAATTTTTGTTTTTTCTGTGTCTGTTTTTGTATTTCTTTCATTCATGTGTCTTCTCACGAGTAGCAGGGGAAGAGTTGGTCACTCTGGCAAAGCCCCGCATTACCAGAGGAAGGCTGATGACAATGAATTTTCGACCGGTTCTCCAAGGGGATCATTCGTAACCGCGTATCACCCTGCGGCCATTCAGCTGTCGGCACGATTCCTTACACCTTAGCTTGGGTGTGCTGGTCCACGGTGGCATGTTTCGCAAAGGCTTTTGGGGAAGTTTAGTTCCCCTAACCCTACTTATTTCTGCCACTGACCAGCAGTCCGGCGACCCCGTCCGTAAGGCCACATTGGCTTCCCGGACAGGACCCCCAGTCCCCTGGCCGTTCCCCTATCCGCCACCAGGGAACGCGCCCGATAGGTAGCCCAACCCACGGAGATGTTTCATAACTACTACTGCTCCTGTTTTCATCTTCATTCTTGCTTTTCTCTCTTCTTTCCTATCTATTTGTTGACCATATTGTTTTTGCAACATCTCTTGAACATATTTTTTTCTTTCCTGATCCCTTTTTCTGTTTCTCTCTTTTATTTTGTTTTATTTTTGCTCTCGACTGAATTACTTGGTTCATTCATTTCAATCTTTTTTTCTTCTTTGGCAATAGTTCTAGTGAGCAGTGTTTAGTAGGAAGTATCATAGTCTTGAAACATTAGGTTACTCAAAAAGGAGTTTGTGTATGATATTCGAGCTGTATAAACGATCATCCGATTGCTTGCTTGCAGTGAAAGTTGCAATGTTCAATTCTGCAACTAATCACTTTTGAAACTTTTATGCTACAAGCTTTTCTGTCACTCCCATAGATGGCGTTGCAGACAAGAAAAACGCCATTACCACCTTATAAGGAAAGTTTAACTGATTCTGATAATTTATTGTAGGCAGTAACCTTAGCTGATCTCAATCAAAAATTGGCCATCGATGCTTTGACAGAACTAGAAAACGAATTTGGACCAAATAGGGCGATTTTTGTTCGAACTGATGTTACCCAGAAAGACTCATTCGAAGGTAAATATCTTTAATGATAGAGGTGTGATATGCGTTAATACATAAATGTATTTTTTTGGTCTGATCCACTATATCACTCTTTACAGACGCTTTCAAGGAGACCATAAAAGTATTTGGAGTCATTGATATTCTGTTCAATAATGCTGGTATATTAAATGATGCTATATGGGAAAAACAGATTCTGGTAAATCTGGTAAGTTTGAGAGAATAGAATATTGAACCTGTCAGTATAGTTTTTGAATTGAATCAATTGATGCCCATAAATATTGTGAGTGGGTCTATTCGACCCTTCATCACGAACCACAAGTGATTTTTATCGCTCACACCTATTCCAACTCGACCAAATGAACTCAGCTTCTTGACGAAGCCGATTAGTTTAACTCTGAAAACCTGATTCCCCAGTGGGGCAGGCACAAAGTATATGCTCTGTTGTTTTATCATTTTCTAAATAGAGGCGACACACACTGTCTTCCGACAGTCCGAGTTTCCGCATATGATGATACAAATGACAGAGACCTGTAAAAAGGCCTGTTAGACATCGTAGTGCATTCCTACTGTAGTCCAACAATTGTTTGGTTTTGAACTTAGAATAACGAATGAACGCTTTGGAGTGAGCCAATCCTGGAAGAATTTGCCAGAAGTCTTTGAATCTTCTTGCCATCCAGGTGTGCAATCTTTGTTTGGCAAAACCTAAAGCAATGCCAATGACAGGTTCTGGTCCGATGAAGCTACTTGCAGCATTTTCCTTTACAAGGGTAGGTGATAGGTCCAAAGTGAGCGGGTCTATTCGACCCTCCACCGCAACCCACAAGGGTTTATTGTGGTTCGCACCTATTCACACTAGGCCAAATAAACTCAGCTTCTTAACGAAGCCGATTAGTTTGTATGGTGAGTGGTCTTTCAGGTCAGATGGTGAGAGTACGGATCTGCCGAACTCTAAGAACATGATTCAGTCCCCAGCGGGGCAGACACAAAGTATATGCTCTGCTGTTTCATCGTTTTCCAGACAGAGGCGACACACACTGTCTTCCGACAGTCCAAGTCTCTGCATATAATGATTCAAATGACAGTGACCTGTAAGAAGGCCTGTTAGACATCGTAGTTCATCCCTACTGTAATCCAACAACTGTTTGGTATCAAGCTTTGAAGGGTGAATAAACGCCTTGGAGTGAGCCAATCCTGGAAGATTCTGCCAGAAGTCTATAAATCTTCTTGCCATCCAGGTGTTCAGTGTTTGTTTGGCAAAGCCCAAAGCGATGCCAATGACAGGTTCTGGTCCAATAAAGCTGCTTGCAGCACCCTCCTTTGCAAGTGAGTCAGCAGCCTCACTGCCTTCCAGGCCAGTATGGCCAGTAATCCAGACTAGAGACAATCTGTTGAGTCTTTCTATCGAGGAGAGTCGTTTTTGGCAATTTGCTACCAATTTAGACGTTGCTCGGTAGGAGCCAAGAGCTTCCAACGCCGCTTGACTGTCCGAAAATATTTTTATTGACTTGTGAGTGAGGTTGGATTTATCCAATCTCTCCGCACACAATTCAATAGCGTAAATTTCCGCTTGAAATACAATCGCATAGTTCCTAGGCAGGTAAATAAGTCTGTCCTGGGTCTGCGACTGAAAACACCTGCACCAGAATTGGAAGGTGTTTTTGATCCATCTGTGAACCAACAACTATCTGCTCTCAATATTTTTTTCTACCGGAGGATCCAGTCCTTACTACTCGGAAATAGTAAAAGTACTATAACTGCCTTATAAAGATAAGGCAGTTCGTAGTTGACAGTTGGAGGCATAAAGTCAGAGGTCATTTCCAGAATGCTGTGACTTCCAATGTCAACCAACAGTCTGTTGCACTCTGCATTGAATTGATTTGTGCAATTGGCAATGTGCACAAATCTGTATGCAGTCCATCTAGCCTCTCTCTCCAGAAAAATGTGGAGAGGAGGTAGATCTAGAAGGATCTTCATGGCCGCTGACGGTGTGGTACTGATAGCACCACTGATAGCCAGACAAGCCTGTTTCTGTAAGCCAGAGAGCTTCGCTTGGGCCATTTTCTGTAAAGCCTTCGGCCACCAAGCAATTGCACCATAAGTGATCATTGGTCTGACAATCTTCACATAAATCCAACGGATTTGTTTAGGACCTGAACCCCAAGTTTCACCACATACCCTTCGACATGTCCATAGAGACAGTCTGGCTTTGTGTAAAACTTTTTCCAAGTGAGCGTTCCAGGTGAGTCTTTTATCAAGGACAATGCCTACATATTTCACCTCCGTTCCAAATGCAATGACCACACCATTGAAGGAAAGTAGCGTTATATCGTCCAATTTTCTCCTCTTGGTGAAGGGGATTAACACAGTTTTGCTACGGTTGACAGACACCTGCTTCCTCAGATGCATCCTCATCAGGATGATGAGGTCATCTGCATAAGCTTGCAGATCAACTTTTCTTTTGTCAAGGGCATCAAGCAGACTATCCACCAGGAGCGACCACAGAAGGGGAAATAGTACTCCACCTTGGAGGCAGCCTCTGGTGACCCGGAACCTGACTGCCTCGCCTTGATGAGTCGTAGTTGCAGTTCTGTTTACTAGCATGGCATAGATTCAGCCAGTTATGGTCGATTCTATACCCTTCCTAGCCAGAGACAATCCTATAGAATTACGTAGTGCATTGTCGAATGCTCCTTCAGTATCAAGAAATACAGCAACCGCAATCTCCTTGTTGTCAAGGGATTGGGAGGTTTCCTCAACGAGGTTGTTTAATGTTAAATCTGTCGATTTGCTGGTTTGATAAGCGTACTGGTGGTTATTCAGGGGGAAGCATATAATGCTACCCTCCTGATATGCCCGTCCAGTATCCTCTCAAGTCCTTTCAGCAGGAAGGATGTAAGGCTGATTGGTCGTACCGATTTGGGTGTGGGTCTCTCCGGCCCAAGGGAGTCAGCAGCCTCATTGCCTTCCAGGCCGGTGTGGCCGTGAATCCAGACCAGAGACAATTTTTCAAGTCTTCCTATTGAGGAGAGTCGTTTTTGACAATTTGCTACCAACTTAGACGTTGCTCGGTAGGAGACAAGAGCTTCCAACGCTGCTTGACTCTCCGAGAATTTTTTTTATTGATTTGTGTGTGAGGTTGGATTCTACCAATCTCTCCGCACAAAATTCAATAGCAAATATTTTCGCTTGGAATACAGTCGCATAGGTCCCTAGGCAGGTTGATATCTCTGTCCTGGCTCCTGGATCATATAATTTCAGGATGGAAATAAATACCCTTTTTTTGCTGGTAAAAACAGAATCGAAACATTCTACTATGTACAAAGGCAAATAATACACCAAGAGATAGAAACCATCATAGGACGATTAGTTTAACTCTGAAAACCTGATTCCCAGTGGGGCAGGCACAAAGTATATGCTCTGTTGTTTTATCATTTTCTAAATAGAGGCGACACACACTGTCTTCCGACAGTCCGAGTTTCTGCATATGATGATACAAATGACAGAGACCTGTAAAAAGGCCTGTTAGACATCGTAGTGCATTCCTACTGTAGTCCAACAATTGTTTGGTTTCGAACTTAGAAAAACGAATGAACGCTTTGGAGTGAGCCAATCCTGGAAGAATTTGCCAGAAGTCTTTGAATCTTCTTTCCATCCAGGTGGCAATCTTTGTTTGGCAAAACCTAAAGCAATGCCAATGACAGGTTCTGGTCCGAAGAAGCTACTTGCAGCATTCTCCTTTACAAGGGTAGGTGATAGGTCCGAAGTGAGCGGGTATATTCGACCCTCCACCGCAACCCACAAGGGTTTATTGTGGCTCGCACCTATTCACACTCGGCCCAATAAACCCAGCTCCTTAACGAAGCCGATTAGTTTGTATGGTGAGTGGTCTTTCAGGTCAGATGGTAAGAGTACGGATCTGCCGAACTCTAAGAACCTGATTCGGTCCCCAGTGGGGCAGACACAAAGTATATGCTCTGCTGTTTCATCGTTTTCTAGACAGAGGCGACACACACTCTCTTCCGACAGTCCAAGTCTCTGCATATGATGATTTGAATGACAGTGACCTGTAAGAAGGCCTGTTAGACATCATAGTTCATCCCTACTGTAGTCCAATAACTGTTTAGTATCAAGCTTCGAAGGGTGAATAAACGCCTTGGAGTGACCCAATCCTGAAAGATTCTGCCAGAAGTCTATAAATCTTCTTGCTATTCAGGTGTTCAATCTTTGTTTGGCAAAGCCCAAAGCGATGCCAATGACAGGTTCTGGTCCAATGAAGCTGCTTGCAGCATCCTCCTTTGCAAGGGAGTCAGCAGCCTCATTGCCTTCCAGGCCAGTATAGACAGGAATCCAGACTAGAGACAATCTGTTGAGTCGTTTTTGGCAATTTGCTACCAATTTAGATGTTGCTCGGTAGGAGCCAAAAGCTTCCAACGCCGCTTGACTGTCCGAAAATATTTTCATTGACTTATGAGTGAGATTGGATTTATCCAATCTCTCCGCACACAATTCGATAGCGTAAATTTCCGCTTGAAATACAGTCGCATAGTTCCTAGGCAGGTAAATAAATCTGTCCTGGGTCTGCGACTAAAAACACCAGCACCAGAACCGAAAGGTGTTTTTGATCCATCTGTGAGCCAACAACTATCTGCTCTTAATATTTTGTTCTCCCGGAGGATCCAGTCCTTTCTACTCGGGAATAGTACTTTATAAGGCAGTTCGTAGTTGACAGTTAGAGGCATAAAGTCAGAGGTCATTTCCAGAATGTTGTGACTTCTAGTGTCAACCAACAGTCTGTTACACTCTGCATTGAATTGATTTGTGCAATTGGCAATGTGCACAAATATGTATGCAGTCCATCTAGCCTCTCTCTTCAGAAAAATGTGGAGAGGAGGTAGATCTAGAAGGATCTTCTTGGCCGCTGACGGTGTGGTACTGATGGCACCACTGATAGCCAGACAAGCCTGTCTCTGTAAGCCAGAGAGCTTCGCTTGGGCTGTTTTCTGTAAAGCCTTCGGCCACCAAGCAATTGTACCATAAGTGATCATTGGTCTGACAATCATCACATAAATCCAATGGATTTGTTTGGGACCTGAACCCCAAGTTTTACCACATATCCTTCGACATGTCCATAGAGACAGTCTGGCTTTGTGTAAAACTTTTTCCAAGTGAGCGTTCCAGGTGAGTCTTTTATTAAGGACAATGCCAAGATATTTCACCTTCGTTCCAAATGGAATGATCACACCATTGAAGAAAAGTGGCGTTAGATCGTCCAATTTTCTCCTCTTGGTGAAGGGGATTAACACAGTTTTGCTGGTGTTGACAGACATCTGCTCCCTCAGGCGTCAACTGTGAACAACATCCAGGATGACAAGGTCATCTGCATAAGGTTGCAGATCAACTTTTCTTCTGTCGAGGGCATCAAGCAGACTATCCACCAGGAGCGACCACATTAGAGGAGATAGTACTCCACCTTGAGGGCAGCCTGTGGTGACCCGGAACCTGACTGCCTCGCCTTGATGAGTCGTAGTTGCAGTTCTGTTTACTAGCATGGCATAGATTCAGCCAGTTATGTGCATTGTCGAATGCTCCTTCAATATCAAGAAATACAGCAACCGCAATCTCCTTGTTGTCAAGGGATTGGGAGGTTTTCTCAACGAGGTTGTTTAATGCTAAATCTGTCGATTTGCTGGTTTGATAAGCATACTGGTGGTTATTCAGGGGGATGCATATAATGCTACCCTCCTGATATGCCCGTCCAGTATCCTCTCAAGTCCTTTCAGCAGGATGTATATAAGGCTGATTGGTCGTACCGATTTGGGTGTGGGTCTCTCCGGCCCAAGGGAGTCAGCAGCCTAATTGCCTTCCAGACCAGTGTGGCCAGGAATCCAGACCAGAGACAATTTTTTGAGTCTTCCTATTGAGGAGAGTCGTTTTTGACAATTTGCTACCAACTTAGACGTTGCTCGGTAGGAGACATGAGCTTCCAACGCTGCTTGACTCTCCGAGAATTTTTTTTATTGATTTGTGTGTGAGGTTGGATTCTACCAATCTCTCCGCACAAAATTCAATAGCAAATATTTTCGCTTGGAATACAGTCGCATAGGTCCCTAGGCAGGCTCCTGGATCATATAATTTCAGGATGGAAATAAATACCCTTTTTTTGCTGGTAAAAACAGAATCGAAACATTCTACCATGTAAAAAGGCAAATAATACACCAAGAGATAGAAACCATCACAGAACAAAATTATTTTCGACAAATATCATTACTAATCTGAATATCATCGTATTCGTATGCATGCATTAGGAAACGTACTCCTCCTCAATTCATGAATCATCCCCAATCGAAATCCTGATCTAAATCCTACTTGATACAATGATGTACTGCTCATATCTTGAGGTGATTTATGTCCATGGAACACGACTTTCAATTCGTGAATATACCTCATGATACAATTGTTATTTTAGGAATACTTTTCACATATAGTCAGTGGCCATACATAAAGACTGCCTATAAATCAAATCATCTAAAGGAAAAATTAGTATGCCTACTGACTATATGTGAAAAGTTTTCTTTCCTTAAACGAGGAATTGGGCAAATTTCGGATATGCCGTTGGTTACCTCGTTCACAGGCAGATGGGGCGATGACAAACCTGTTGTTTGTTGTCCGCTTCAGTCTAGTTCGAGGAATAATACTTTGAAGGAATTCGATTTTTAATTATCGGAAATCATCGACTTTATGTTGATGATAGACAGTACCTTGCACTGACGAGTGGCCAAACAGCCCAAAACCGGTCTGCAAGTATGTTCCAATAATTGAAAATCTATTGCGGCAGTTGCCTCGCCAACAGCATACGCAGGGATAACTTCAGTGAAGAATCCTGCACTGACACCTGTTGGAAATAATCCAATGCCCTTCGTGGTACGAGCCAGAGGAGTAGTTATTATCTGATAGGTGTCAGTCCATTAACCATCAGTGTAACGAGTTCAGACTGGCCTGAACGAATTGTTCCTTTAGATGATTCGTTTTTAGGAATACATCGATTGAATGCACAATTCTAGGTATAGTATAATTTCAGAATGGGATGGTACACGGAATGTTACTGGCCCTGGAGAAATATTTACCTGACTACCAACAAGGACCAGAAGCTGTCGTCGTCAACATTTCCTCCATAGCCGGAGTAATAGGCAGTCCACACGTTCCTATATATTGCGCCACCAAGCACGCCGTCCTAGGTCTAACGAAATCATGGGGAGTTTCATCATTCTACAGGAAATTCAAAGTGAGGGTTGTAGCGGTATGTCCAGGGATAACCCGCACACCCTTGATATCAGATATGGCGGATAGGAGTTTGGGTACACATTACGAAGAAAACGGCAAAGATCTTGCTGCGTTTCCCGTTCAGGAGTAAGTCAATTATTGATTCGGACAATGAAACGGAAGCAAAGCCGATTTCTTGTAGTAGTCGATTAGAGGAAAAAATTCTTTGACACTTGTCGATTTTGATGTTTGAGAGAAATCTTTTGTTTTGAAAACATTTTCAAATTTGTGACTCCCATCCCCTCGCCTGGGGTGATACACTGATTTTTCTCGATTGATCTCTGCATACATCTGATGAAGCAGATATCGTGAAATAATGTTAAGAGTCAATACGAGGCGATATTTTGTATAAATATCTTTTGAAGGTAATTTGGCGAGGTACATACGTTATTTTTGGCACATATGGACTTTGTGTTACCTTAAAATAAAAAAAATCGAATCAAATGAAAGAAAGTTAGTCAAATGAAACAAAAAAAATTGATAAATTTGTCCATCTACGAAAAACACATTTTTTTTTAAATTGCCTTCATTAAAATTGCTCTTGGAGATAATGACTGTTATCAATATTTTGAGAAGGAGACAATTCTAAATGAAACCAAACAGCAAGTACAACTATATCTACAACACCAACAATATCATCAGACAATTTTTTTAAATGTTATGTGGTCTTTGTTATGTGGTTTGAATCTTAAAATCATCTAAGATTCTCATTAACTCGAACTATTAAAAAAAACTCGAACAATATCGGCAAATAAGAACCCAAAATGAAAATATTGGTGCCCTATTGCGAAAGCATCACCCTGACTATCACAAAAAATACCAAATAAATATAATAAACGAGATTTGGTTACAAGTTATCACAAGATCACTTTATTCATATGTGAAGACGATTCGAATGTAGGTAAAATTTGTTATAAGAAAGATTCTCTTAGCACCTGCAGATAATTTAGGAGAGTTGATTCATTAGCCTATTGAAAACACATTTTCCTCACTAGAACAGAACTACCTTCACTAGACGTTTCGCCAATCAAGTTAGCTTCATCAGGAGATGATTGGAATTGCTAACAACTACTAACGACTATGTTAATGTTTTGTATGTATGTAGACAAATCATTACTTTCCATAATGACGGTCATTGAATTCATTCCTGATTGTTAAGGCTCGATCCACACTATGATGCCGTTCTCGGTCCGATCTCGCTCCGGTGTCGGTCCGTTCCTGGTCCGGTAAAGTATTCTCAAACAAGAAAGAATCAGAGTATTCTCACTATCGTATCACTCTGGTTCCGATCCGGCATCGCGCCGGTACCGGTTGGTCGAAAAGAATATTTGACTGGAGCGAGACTGGAGCGAGATCGGACTTGTCATGACTTGTACCGACAGTGTGAATATGTTTTTGTTTCAACTCCAGTCTTTCTTCGGTCTTGCAAGGAGACGTTACATTTTTCTTCTAGTCATGGCCAGTGATAAATCGTGGGATTCTGAAAAAGGTAAGTAGGTACTTTATTTGAGTTATTTATAACATTTGATCATAAATAATAAACTTCTTTTCTCGTTAATGAACTGGGATGTATCCACATTCTTCTTCTTTTCATTTTATGCTGTTCGTCCAAACTAATAGCTATTATCGCTAATTCTTCGATTGAAAAATTAAATGCCATCTTCGATTGAAAAATTAAATGTCATTTTTTGGCGAGTACAATTTATCGAATCATTTCTAGAAACGTCCTATGTCGACCATGGATCGAGACAGACTGAGTGTGGAACTAGTAGTGTAGACACAGCGAGATTTGATCGGACCGAGACCGGAGCGAGATCGGACCGAGAACGGCATCATAGTGTGGATCGAGCCTAATGCTACTTGCCACCTTTACGTTACTATATTAAGGAGAAAAAGTAGTAAACCTGATAATATTAGTTGCCATTTTTTGCTTATCTATGTATAAAAAGTGTTGAATTGATTTGCAATTTGTTTTTTTTTTGTTTTTCGGTTATCAATTCATCATTTTGGTTCGAAGTTTTAGGCTCGATCCACACTATGATGCCGTTCTCGGTCCGATTTCGCTCCGGTCTCGGTCCGATCAAATCTTGCTGTGTCTACACTACTAGTTCCACACTCAGTCTGTCTCGATCCATGGTCGACATAGGACGTTTCTCGAAATAATTCGATAAATTGTACTTGCCAAAAAATGGCATTTAATTTTTTAATCGAAGAATTAGCGATAATAGCTATTAGTTTGGACGCACAGAATACAAATGAAAAAAAAATTACAACATAAAATGAAAAGAAGAAGAATGTGGATACATCCAAGTTTACTAACGAGAAAATGAGAAGGCGAAGTTTATTATTTATGATCAAATGTTATAAATAAGTCAAATAAAGTACTTACCTTTTTCAGAATCCCATGATTTATACTAGCCACGACTAGAAGAAAAATGTAACGTCTCCTTGCAAGACCGAAGAAAGACTGGAGTTGAAACAAAAACGTATTCACACTGTCGGTACAAGTCATGACAGGTCCGATCTCGCTCCAGTCTCGCTCCAGTTAAATATTCTTTTCGACCAACCGGTACCGGTGCGATGCTGGATCGGAACCAGAGCGATACGATAGTGAGAATAATCTGATTATTTCTGGTTTGCGAATACTTTACCGGACCGGGAACGGACCGAGACCGGAGCGAGATCGGATCGAGAACGGCATCATAGTGTGGATCGAGCCTTAGTAAGGATGTTTTTCTTTTTTTTGTATGACATATGTCCTGTATGGTATCCTACAGAGCCTTTGTATTTGAGGAATTTTCATTTATTTTATTTTGGTAGAACATTTGCTTGGCAATTCTGATTTGGTTTGTTAACTCATTTCTGAATGTTTTGTATTTACTTTCTAGATGTGAATCATTAGGATTTTTTTGTACTCCTTTTGCGAGTATGTCTTTATCTTTCACTGATATAACTGAAGCATCGGTAATTCATGGTGTAATCTTAGTGTTTTTCCACTTCGCATGGTATATGTATATAAAATCGTTTATTACAATCGTCACTGCTGACTTTGGTGTGATCGAAAAAAAATTGTTTGCCAAGAAGTCTTCTGTATAGGGGAGACCGGGCATGGATATCTCACGGGTTGGTTGTCACAGCGGCCATATTGAAAAATTGAACGAACGAAAGAGTTTATCGAACAAAATTGAAGGATCGCGAGAGCAATTCCTCTATTTTAACGTTACTTCAGTTCATGCTCATACTGTGTGAAGGAGATTCGTACATTTTTTTTTTCGGACGGTGAAAGTAAATTTTTGTGCTTTTGTGTAGAGTAGTCACATGTGACAACGAACACCATATATATTTGTGCTGCATTTTTTGAGCTTCTGCTACATACAATTTTGTTTGTTTTAGAGAAAATCATAGAAATGTCATGACATCATATGAGAAAGTCTGATCGACTAGTATTTCACGCAGTGATACTGCGTGCTGCAAGATAAGTGATTTTGGGATTAATTATTATTGCAGTCTGACACTGTTTTGTAAAAAATACACTGTCGAAAAGATAAGCAACACGGTGTTATCAATATCATCAAAAAAAATTGGTTATCAAAGATTTAGGCAAATCATCAGCGACAAATAGAAGAGAGAATTAAAAAAAGACATACTTTGGTTCATCTCCCAAAAATATTTGAAATACAGCGTTACATTTGGCAGAATACATTAGCCATAATTGTGAATTCGAATATTCACTGAATTTCAGACTGACTAGATACAATTTCGCTAGGATGGGTATTTTTAATCTACAAGCATTGCGGCCTGATGAAACTATATTTTTGGTTATGAATTTACCAGATGGAAGTTTTTTTAAACGCTTTATATTAACTTCCCCTGTATGAATGTATGTAAGTATATATGTATGTATGTATGTATGTATGTATGTATGTTTGTTTGTAACTCACAAGCTCGGGATC